TATATATATATATATATATATATATATATATATATATATATATATATATATTCACCCGTTTGCCGAGCTTGTTTGCAAGTGTTTCACCACCAGATGAGATGCAGTCTAGCATTCAATCAAGTAAATATCCCCCAACTTGATAATACTTTATTGTCCGGCCCATCTACGCGAAACCGCTGTCACCATGTCCGACGACCTAATTCAACCGTGCATCTCCATTTATGTCCGTTCTCAGCTCAAACCGGATTGCCGGTGGGTTATTCCCGCATCACCGGGGCACCGGATTCAGTCCACTATCTGCCCGCCCCGAAAGCAAATGAGAATCTCATCAATTCAGAGATAGAGGACACGGTCTCATGGATGCAAGCCGCGGTCGAATTGGGCCGTATTATTCGTACACGGACAAATCTACCTTTAAAGGCACCTTTGCGCGAGGCGATCGTGATCCACCCGGACCCGGCTGTTCGGCGAGAGATAATGTCTGCCCAAATGTACATTGTTGAAGTGAGTAACAGTGCTGATCACCGAAATTTGTCAGAATTCTCTAAAAAGAATGGATAGATCTCTGTCACACTCACATTTAACCCACGATAGATCAATCTGCAGTTTTAATACAGGCGAATTGAAGCATATCACATGGTTTCCGTTTGATACAACTCAAACCAACCCTGTATAACTGTCATGATGAACTTATATCATAAAGGTGAGCTCGTTACAACTCAACGAATCCATCATTATGGCACATTGCAGTCGATTCTTTTCGGTTGCTGGATCTTTGCTTGCAGTCGCGCTTGTGTGTATTGAATGGATAGGACCCAGTTATAGTTTGAGAAGAATGTAATATTGGATAATGTTCACCCAAGCTGACTAAAATTTTATACGTCGAAGGATGAGTTATTTTCAAATTCCATGCGAACCAATCAGAGCTGTTCTATAGCCATCGCCTGAATCTTCTGACTGTCCATGTCGAATGATTAAACATATCAGGTGTATATTGACGATGCTCTTGCTTAGCCTTCCACGAGATGGCATACGGCGGTTCACTGTCACCGTTTTTACCATTAATTTATTTCGCCCGTCCAATGGAATTGCCTTTAGTGTGGTTCAGTTCAGGAGAAAAAACCCGCTTTGTTTAATCAGTTGGTGCGTTGAATCGGACGCGCTTTGAACTTTAGTTCCAAGTTTTCTCGGCTGGTCTTCCGCTAGTTAAAAATAACACCTTAGTTTCGCTTAACACGTGTCTATATAGTTAACATTTTACAACAATTGATCGTTTGATGCCTTCGGTGATCTTATGCAAGCTACCTAGAACAGAAGTCTTGCAGGTTGTTGCATAAAAATCCTTATGGTATCGATGGCTTTGCAACTTATGAAAAATTCTTTCGTGATCAAGAAATTGCCCCACTTTGTCATTTGCTTATTTCACATCTGATTTGCATGGGCTATCTACTACTTGTCGCCGAGATCTCTGGATTATGTGTATGATTCTTCCGTATATTCATTTCTTTGTTATTCAGGAATTGAATGTACGCATTCTCACAGTCACGGATGACAAGCACAAGTACGGCGTGCAGCTGCGTGGTCAGCTGAATCACCGCACCCTTGGTGTATGTCTGAAAAAAGACTACAAAGCCGTGGTGGAAGCAGTTAAATCGATGCCCACTGCAGACCTGGAAAAGTTTGTTGCAGTACGTTTACGCTTCAGATTTACAACATTGAATATTGACCAATTGAATTAGTTGATAGTGGTAAACCACTGTTTTATTTTTCGTTTTCACTTTCACAGACTGGATCGATCACTGTGTGTGGACACGAACTCAGTGGGAATGATTTGACAGTAGTCTACACCACTGGAGGAAAACAAAAGGAAACACCGGATGCGACAGAGGAGACTAGAGGCAAGACCGGAAAGGGTAAAAACAAGAAGGCAATCGATACCTCGGCAGAATCGAACGCAACAAAAGAAGGAACTCAACGTTACGAGGCCGCGTCAGATGCCCGAGGCCTTCTCGTACTCTTAGATACCACACCAGATGAAGAACTCGAGCATGAACGGTTGGCTCGGGAACTGATCAACCGTATCCAGCGTACACGAAAGAAGGTGACTTTCGCGGAACAAAATTTGCATTTNTGCAAAGCCCGGAGCACCAATGACTAACCATAATGTTTTTATCTCGACTGTACTTGACACATTCTAATTTGAAATTTGCGATGGCGAAGTGCGGGTTCGGAATAGGGTTTATGAAATCATTGCTACTGTAGTGAATGAATGGTATGTTTGGTACACGCATGAGGAAGCGGTTAGTTGGTTATTCCGATATTCATCCACCCCGGGAGTAGATTCATATATTTAATAATGTAGCAGCATAAGATATCAACATACCGTTGAACTGTTTGACCACTGATCTTGGGGCTTTCATGAAACCGTGAACTGCCAGTTCCAGATTGCATGTTTCGTTCTATGCAACGCGGTTTACGCCCAACCCATTTCACTTTTGCAATGAATAATTCAATAGTTTGACACTGG